AGCAAAGCGCAGCCTGGTGGCCAAATCACCCATCTGCTAGAGGCAACTCAGTTTGTTTTAAAGCAGTACATGGAAAACAAAGTGTAACAGACCAGGCGGGTGGGTGCTGTGTCCTTCAATGAACACAGAGAAAATTATTTTGCTCAGACAATAGAGTGATAGAGATGCCCACAGCATAAGACAGCATTAGAAGCATAAACAGCTGCAGTAACACCACAGGAAGGACACAGAGGTGAATGGTAAGTGAACCAGAGGCTTCACAAAGGTGGGGTGTTTAGCCCCACTAGTTGCCATAAATGACAGATTAGAAAAACATGCAGCCGTAGCAGGGCAGTAACAGTGCCACACGAGCTGAGAAGGAGCACAGAATCCTGTCCACGCACACCAGTAGGTTAGCACCAGGTGTGACGTTATCAACATGAGCCCGTCCATTTTTAGCATGGCCGCTGGGGCCCGCCGATTTATAACATGACCAATGCCGTCCACCTATTATTAACAAGCCTGCTGAAGCTCCTGTGGTGTAGTTAAACATAAAAACACCAAGGAGCAGACCTTTAGCATTGAGTCAGGAGACCGATGACTGTGAAAGTGTATAAGAGTATTGGCGGGTAAAGTGACGGTAATGACGAAGGCTGCCAGCCTTCCACAAAAAAACACAAACAGCCAAATAGTAAAGTGTACTGACCAAATGACACCCGGCGAGAATAGGGCAGAAAGGAGGGTTTATACTCGCCACATCCCCATAGGATGGAAGCAGGGCACCTTAACCGTCACAGACCGCCTCCCACTGGAGCGGATGCACTGTCTGCCTAGGGGTTTGATTTGACAAATCAACCTGGGTAGAATGTGCCCTCCCACCTAAGAAAATTCACAGGCTGCCCAAATCCAAGAGAGGGCTGTCACCGCCAAACCCGCACACAAGGTAGGAAACTGCAAAGGCTTGCTGGCTGAGCTGGGGAGGCTCCAAGGATCTAGATTATCCAGCCAGCAGCTAATTAAAGTTTCTGAAGTCTGAAGGGAAAAGCAAGCTGCCTCTAGCAGATAGGGGGTTTGGACACCAAAACAGTGTGATTTTGTTTATTTCCTATTGTTCTATTCCTGCAAATGATGCTGCTATAACCCAAAAGTGAAGATCTTCTAGATCATTGGTTCTCAACCTCTGGGCTGCGACCCAAAAGTGGACCCGGGACCATGGTAAATTGCTTCAGGATGGAGAGCGGAGAAGGTCGTGTTAACACACCCTTCCCATCTCAGCTGTCACAGGAGTTCTAGCACAGAACTCCTGTATTGGAGGTGACCGGTTCAAAAAAAGAGAACCTGTCACCTGCAAATGCTATCACACAGGGGCTTGTTAGCTCCTGTGTGATAGCAAAAAATTTGAAGAAAAGAAATTGCTAAAAAGTAAAAAAAATAAAAATTAAATATAAGAAATTAAAAAAATAAAATAAGATATGCTCAGTCAAATGTGTACTTAGTACTACAGAGAGATGCAAGAAACACAGCAGGCTTGGCAGTGAAAGGCTTATGATGTCTGCATTTAACATTTTGTTTAGGAGGGCTGCTACACATTTTTGTGCGTAACTTTAATTCCACATAGAGCCCCAGTCTGAGTCTGGTAAATTCCAGTCTGGGTGCATTACTTGGCGCTCTGCAAATGCTATCTAAATGTCTGCCAAAATATTGTTAAATCCTCTACTGTTCATATTACAGTGATAAAATACTAATGTCAGGGGATTAGAATCCATGCCCGGGAACTAGCATTTTCAGAATGTCAGCAAAGGCAACCCCTATAACTCTTTACCTTAGGTTTCTTTCAGATAACAGGTGCACACAAGAGGAACACGCAGCAATGTGAACTGAAAAATACAAAAGCTTCCTACACAACATCTAGCCTCATTAACACTTTACCTTAACACTTCAATTTGTAAATTTACTTAAAGCCACATCACCACATTGAGACATCTCTGCAAAGTGTGGTCCTTCTTGTATCTATGGAGTAATTAAACTGAGACATATAACAATTGTTTAAAGGAGAAGTATGGGAAGAATGAAATACACTCAACCCCATAATTAGAGCAGACGTGTGATACTGCAGTTGTCACAGGTCGGCTCTATTGATCGAGAACTGAGCCATCACATACTGCTGATCTCCAAGCTCCGGATCTTCTCTCTAAAGCGGTGGAGTGGATCTTTAATGCTGCAGAGGGCAGAAACATCAGATAATCAGATGAGTATAGCAATTAGAGCTGCAACTAACAGTTGTTTACCTAATCGATTAGTTGGCCATTTATTTTTTCGATTAAACGGCTAATCGGATTTAAAAAAAAAGATAAATACCATCTTTTATTTAAAATACACAAATGGAGTTTTACAAACATAACATTTATTTCAGAATAAAACTGCATGCACAGTTTGTTTGTATTTGCACCACACTGGAATGCATGGCATTGCAGTACTGCGAGTTCTAGTGTGAAATGAATGGCACCGTATTGCAAATCCGCACCAGAATTTGTCAGGCCAAAACCAAAAATTACTTTTTTTCCAACTTTTTAAAATGTTTAAATAATCGTATGTATTATATTAGACATTGTAATTAGTTTCATGAAATTTAAATTATCTGAATTGAAAAACGGCAAGCCAATAATAAAATAGCCAACCTATTATTTTAAATGAGACACCTAAATTGGCGCTATTCTCGTTTTCATACGTAGGTGTACCCGACTTGTGTTTCCGTTAGTATGTGTGCATTTGCAGGGGACTTCAATTTTTTTGTGGGCTATTTTTTATTTTATTCACCTTTATTTATTTTTTACAAGCCCCCTAGGTGACAGCTTTTTTTAAAGGTGACACTAGGGATACCCTAGTGTCACCTTTCCACTTCACTAAGGAATGACAACTGCCTACTGAGGCAACTGAATGTAAATACAGCATGCCGTGGCTGGGAGCAATGGCAAGCCTGCTACTGCGTATTTCAAATTGTAATAGCCAATAGCTGGCTGGCTATTACACCTGCCCACTGTCAATCAGCAGAGGAGGGACCAAAGGAGAAAGTTCTCCTTCTGGTCCTCCTCTGCTGACTGACAGGGCGGGTGCAATAGCCAGCCTACTATTAGCTATTGCAATTCAAAATAGCCAAACGCAGGCTGGCCATTTCTCCTAGCTGCTGGATGGGAGATTTGAGGATGGCTTTCTTATTTACATGTGGCTGAGAGTCCAGCTCCTGCAGTACTTTCTGGCTAGGGCTTTAAGTGCAGGACCCCAATGCTATGGTCTCATCTCCTCCTACCTCTCCCCCTTACCAATCACAAAACACATAGCCCGTGGATTGGTTTTGTGAATGGCCAGGAGGAGATGGAGGCAGAAATGTGACTGTAGCACTGGGGTCTACGAGACTTCCAGTGCATTTAAACAAGAACATTTCTGGGCTGTTAAAAGCGTTCATTATAACAGGTGACTTTAGAATAAGATCTGTAAGCTGTTAACCAACAGAATCATGTGATTTAAGAAGACTAATTTACAAATGCCTAGGTATTTAACCTTTTGGGGGTTTTGTGTATGTTGTACATTATATGTTCAGCTTAGGAATCCTGGAAGAACAAAATGAGTATCCCCAAAGGACACTGACCAAGTAATAATACAGAGAGAGCATAATGCATTGAAAGCGAAAACATGCCTCATAGCAAACAGCTATGTTCATACTCATTCAGCTGCTATTTACAGTGTGTGGGTGCTACGAGTAAAAGCAGGCAGTTCTAATTTCAGGTACTTTGAGGGGATTTTCCCAAGGGGGGATTTTTTTTTAAACTTTTCTTCTATAAGTGAAACATGTAAATTAATATTTCTTCTCAACAGCTAAACCAAGCTTTTAAATATTGATAAGTAAAACTGCAGTGCATTGAAGCTACAACTCAGAATAGCACAATGTGTGCACATTTCAGAGAATTTGAGGGTTCCCTGACAGGACATATTACAGGCACAATGCGTGACCATTTCAAATTTTTAAGAACAGACTGAAACAAATTAGTTATGCATTTAAGGAAACAGAACACATTTTAGCCTTTCATATAAAGATTCCTAAAAGATTGAGGCTGCCACTGCTCGCCACCTCCTGAAAATGCCACATAGCTGGCTTTCATGCTGATCTTCAGGCTTCAATATTTTGAGCCACAGAGCTGAGCAAATATAAATATCCTAAAATCACAGCAAAGCCAAATTCTCATCTGTGTGTTTGCTCTGTTAGTGACTTAACCTATTGAAACAAGAGGTTCAGCATAACAGCCAGGGAACTAGCATTTGCATGATTAGAAGGATTAGAAATCAAAGAAGTATTAATTCTTCTCTCAGGAAGATAGCATCAACATTATCCCAAGTAAAGCAAACAAATTCTATATATGCCTTGTATAATACCTAGAGAGAAAAAGATCTGCGTTTTGTGTGTATATCGGTCTATAAATTCATGTGTAAATTAGAAATTATTAAACTAAAGGTCTTATTAAAGCAGTGCAAATTGATATAGCCCCGCAACCAATTAGATAACAGTTTGCCAGAGTCTAATCTGTAAAACATTTGACAAAAATGAAAAAGGAATATCATTTTATAAAGTAAAAAAAATAAAGTTTTATTACAAAATGGTAAAAGCCAGCTTCATCCAAGGGTTCTGACTCCACTGCCTACACTTGTCCCAGTTCAGTGCTTCTGAGAGCATTGAGGTTCTTGCAAGTCTTGTTCTGAGGAGGGAAGGTACATTCCAACTCACTGTAATTGCATACTTGAGTTGTCTTCATTCAGATGTCACTCAAAAAGCCCCTGCCATGATTCTCTCATGCGCTATTAACAGTACTAGAAGATGGGGCTGACACTAACACATATTCCGATGTTTGCTTTGAAGGAGACGTACACAATGCACTGAGCTTGCCTGCAATGACTGTGCTTGCCATAAGAAATGTAACGTACCCAGTCAAAAAAAAAAACTGTAGAAACACTTATTTGTTCACACATACCCTCTCTTCCAGCCTGGCCAGCTGCTCCTTGTAATATTCATCTTGCCTCTTAAGCTCACGCTCTTTTTCTTCAAGCTTCCTTGCCTGCAAATAGCAAATAAAACAGTAGTAAGGCATCATATTTGTTTTTGCCTTCAGGAGCCCTCACAGATTTTTAATACAATAAATTAAAAACAAGCTTGCATTCTAAATACCCTATTTCCTTTATATTATTGGCAGTCAGGCGACACCAGGCATCACCTGTCAGGATCAGCAGGTATTTAGTGGGGTTTTACACTATGCATAAATAAATGGCTACCATATTTAAACAGAACACACACCGCACTTTGAACTGGACGCTAAGCTCCAAGAACACTAACGTACTAACAGCGATATTTTGGGGAGTGGGTTGGTCTCTTGTGCTACTGCTGTTTTTGGTTGAAAACCCAGGCAGGCACAGTATTGTTCCTTGTATACATGCCAAAGCAACCATTTTATCATTATTGCAGTAAAACATTAACAGTTTTGAATATTGTATTAAAAAAATGACTAGACATTCAACAAATACGACAAAAGAGAATATTACATAGCAGTTTAGCTGATGCACAAAATTTACTCACTTGTGCATTTAACTCCTGAAGCATTGCAAAACAAAAAGGAAAAATGAGTGTTATGCAACATGACAAAGATTTGCACATATCAGGTCTCCACATACTTCATTACTCATTATTTACAAAACATAATTTATTCATTGATAAAAACTGGGCCAATTCACAGCAGAGCATGAGCGCTTTAGCATTTTGTTTTGAATTTTGTTTTTTTTAGGCATTTTCAGCTTTGAGTACTTTTATTGTACCCAATAGAAAGCTGGTTACTAAGAAGAGGAGACAGTTCTTAGGTGCAAAACCATGTGAAAAACACATGTGCTCCCATTGGGGTTAATGGGGCCAAAGGAACGCGATTCTGCCTCGAAAAGAAGCTCATGTACTTTATTGAGCTTCAAGCTACAAGCAACATGCGATACAATGCTCGGGTCTGAAGGGGCATCATCATTGAGTGTGGTTATGCTTCGAGAAACAAGCAACAAATCACTTAGGTGTGAATAGGGGCTAAAGGAGCATACCTTTGAAGACAGCATGAAGCACATTTTGAACAGAGAAGACAGCTTGAAAGAAATGTGAAATAGGCCACTTATGTCAAACTGAAAAAAACATTCCCTAAAGAAAGGTTGGGCCAGCAATACTTTATCACAACAGATCCTCAACAATTCACACTCTAGTTAAATTCTTTCTTACCTACAAACAATAACTGCAACTGGATAACTTTAACATTTAAAATACTATGGGAACTAAAGAAGCAATTTGCATAAGTAGTAGTAGTGTCTTAAGAAATAAATACTCAAGTTCAGCTCATTTTACTATAGCTAGATGTTTACACTGCCTTTCAGAAAATTCAGATGGTGTTAAAGTAAAATATTACTTTTTTCTTACTTAATATAAAATCCTTTGCTCTGCGTTCATTGAAGGACACAGCAGAGAACTTCATCTCTGTACTAATGGGTTGTACCACCGCTTGCAGGAGTAGGATGCTAGGCACAAAAAAAGACCTCATCTTTTTGCAAAAAAATCAAAAAAGGAGGTTTACAACAAATGACAGCTATTCCAAAACTCTCAGAGCCATTTTCTGTGACAAATGTAATAAAGTGGTATCATGAATACTTTTAAAAGTAGAATTCTGTAAAACTGAGAGAACCAGATGTAAGTCCCACGGAGGCAATGGAGTTTTGACTGGGAGGAGAAAGATTTTAAAAGCTTTGAAGGAAGGTACAAACCAAGGATTTCAAGGCTAACAGATGCTGTGAAAACATTAAATGTCAGGTTTCTGCATTGGTAAAGAGTTTCTAAACCCTCCAGTACCAAGATTTTGTTGAATACCTGTGGGGCTGAGACAAGGCCAAACAGAAGAGGACGAACTTGACAACCATGTTCAGGGCAAACCCCGCCTTTTTTGGGAGCCATAAGAAAATCTGAATGAAACTATATTGTATTCTGATAAAACCAGTTCGCAAACCCAGCTGTCTGAAATTTGAGACAACCACAGGTCCACAAAAAAAAGTAAGCATCCCCCCCACCTAAGCTGGGCAGGTGGGGTAAAGCTCTCGTGTGGCAGATGTCTTCTCAGCGGACTTGGAGGACTTAATCATCGCAAGTACGATCTGCCTATGCGAGATAGGCAGATCGTACGTTTTTTTTAAGTACCTTACGACCATCGCTAGACAAAAGTCTTGCGATGGTTGTAAGGTGTGTGCCCAGCCTTAGGCTGCCAAGACCTCTTCTGAACACTGGAGAAGGTGGATTTACCAGACATTTGACTTATATCTGGGGATTCATGGGGACAACAAATGCGGTGCAAGATCCTTACCTTTCTTAAGCAGTGGTAAAAATATACTATTACCTCACGTGATATTTTTGATTACATCATCCAGTGTTGCCGCAAACAAATGATCACCCTTAAAAGGTAAATCCGTAAGGGGCTTCTTAACATTTAAGCCACAATGTATGGTGACGAATGATGGCCAAAAAAGGAATTCTGGAAATAAGAGGTCCAGTATTCAGAGATGATCCGCCAGTTCCACATAGTTCCACAGACAGGAGAAACTTGTTCACACTCGAGTGCCCGGTGCAAGCATGTTGGCAATTCTGTGAGCGTTCAGGATACAAGGACTAAAGGACTGTGGCCCAAAACAGAATGTAAGGTTGACCCAGTGATGGTATACATAAATCTCGCTACTGATCCCTTTTTCCTGTCCATTGGATTTTTGAAAGAAGGCGATTGCTTGACCGGATTTACATTAGTCTTATTCAGCCCAGACACTGGTAAGTCTACAATAGGGGGAGACTTTTTGTTCTGGATTTCTTTTTTTAAAAGGATAACGCTTTTGAAGTACAAAAACTCCAGAAGGGCAGTCCCATTCTTTGTAAATAAACTCTAGGTCAAACGTTTAGACTTATTTCTACCAAAAGGAAGCGGAGCTTTAACAGAAGCATCCGCAAAATATTTTGGGATACCATACTGGCCTTCTTAAAAGTCTCGCAAACTGAATAAATCATTCCAGAAACTATTACTAGCAGAGTGAGGTTGACCTGTTGCCCAGAAAATGCAGAAATCCCAGGGAAAAACAATTTTTTTGCAGAGGAATCAGAGGATGACGGCGATGGCGAGGAGCGCTTTTTACTCTGCTTTTTGTAAAAGTTTGCTCCACATGTGAAACAAAAGTGTTTCCATATGAATATAACAGAACTCGGGGTCCCAGCAATACATTATACAGGAATGTAGAATAATACCCTCTGCTATAGAGCATTACAAATCCCAGCAATACATTACACAGCAATCCAGACTAATACCATCTGCTACAGAGGACTACAAATCCCAGCAATACATTATACAACAATGCAGAACAATAGTATATAAATTTGCTACATACTCTGTGCTGCTGCTTAGTTCAGGGTGCCAGCCTGATGTCTCGGGCAGAGGGTCACAAGAGGGGTGTGGCGGGTCTCAGAAGGGGGAGTTGTGCGGGCTGGCCTAAGTGCTGCAAAACAGGCGCTGCATGGTTCCCAAGTAGGCTGCCGTGAGGTCCCCAGCAAGTGCAAGACCTAAGGCAGCAGCTCCAATTCGAAAATGTATAGTGCTGGTATTGGTTTTTGGTATCAGGGCATTTTCACAAGTACAAATACTCGTGAAAATCCCCAGTATCAGCACCGATACCAATATCAGTGCATCCCCAGTACAGGTTAATCAATAATGAAAATAACTGCCAACGATTCACATTATTGATTATGATTGATTCATTTGATTAGTATATTCAGCCCTAAACTCTACCCCCCATCCTAAGACCTGGTTCACACTGAGCGTTTTGTAGCACTTTTTGAGCCCTAAAAAACACACAAAATACGCCCCCCCCAATTCAGTTCATTTCTATGGCCCTGTTCACATCTGAGTGTTTTGTCGCTGAAAAAAAGTACAGCAGCTTTTTTTTTTTACATATTACAGTTCGTATTGTTCCAGACTCAATAAAGAACGCTTGAAAACATGTGTTTGCTGTGTTTTTGCACGTTTGCTCATTAACATCAATGAGCTACAATCTGCTCACAAAAACGCGCGTTTTGAAGTATGCACATAAAACGTGCAAACACGTGCATCAAAAACGCTGTTGCCTGGGTGTGAACCCAGCCTTAATGGCGGGGGCTACAAAAAAACTTTACATTTTATTTTTTTTTAAATGGTACAGACGTGCATTTTAACAAGGCTTTGGATCCTCATCTTTCCCAGGATTGCTTTCTCAGGTTTTTATTGCTGTCTGTGTCTGCTTTAGGGGAGTATTCACCTGCTCTATTTGTCCTGGCAACCACTGTTCACTGGGACTAAAAACGAGGTATAATTAGGGATGCCTCGAAATTTCGTCCCAAAATGGCACTTTTGTCAAAATGCTGAAAGTACCATCTTGCCTCCTGCTGAAGTGTCCCCTCTGACACAGTACAGCGTCCAGCAGGGGGTGGGGAAACTGTCACAGGAGGCCAGGCTCTCCTCCCGCACTGCTCAAATCAGGATGGAGAGAGGTGTGGGGGTGGAGACAGCTGTCAGCGCTGTCACAGGAGGCTGAGCTCGCCTCCTGCAATGCCCCGCTCGGCCTCCTGTGACAAATCAGGATAGAGAGTGGTGGTGTGAGGATGGAGACAGGTGTCATAGAAGGCTGAACCGGTGGTGTGGGGGAGGAGTTAGCTGTCAAAATGGACCAAGCTCTCTTGGACACACTGCCCCCTCAGCCTCCTGTGACAGCAAATCAGAATGGAGAGTGGGTACAAGCAGTCAGAGATCAGTGATAGCTGACTGCTTGTAAATAATTGAGGATGTTTATTGTGTCCCCAATTATGAACAAACAGGAAGTGCTCTACATCATTATGATTATAATAGGGGCTATACGACATCACTACATTATAATAGGGGCTGCAAAAAAAGGACTCTCAAGTCTAACTCTTTTTCTATTTTAAAGGGGAAATATCAGGGGTCTATTTAGAACCCTGATATTACCCCAGAGCCCCTGA